CTTTTTCCGTTCTTTTGGCAATGGAAAATATCGCGGATCGTTGGCGTAATCGATAACTGGCGTCTCTTTCGGTGGTGCTGGCTTCTCCAACTGTGTTTTCACTGTCTCGCCATTCGTAGTATTTTCCATTGGTTTGCTAGGTTCTACAGGAATATAAGGTTTCGACCTACTCCAAGTTGCTTTCCTACCACCGCGAACCGCAGGTGGAGGCGACGGTTCTCTTTCGCCTTGCAAGAATTTCAAGTAACTAGTCATAAATCCAGAATTCGGATCCTTGTTGGGTCGTTTAAAATCTTTACTTAGTAAACTATTTGTTTCGAGTGACTGTTGACTTTGTTGTAAAAAACCTAATTCTTCTTCAATATTAGGAACAATTACTTTAGGCTGATCGTCTCTGACCTCTTGACTATAATTAGCATTTTGATTTATCGTATTTTCCCCAAAACCAATAGGCGTGATTTCAACCGAGGATTGAAACTCGTGCGAATGATGATGGCTCGGAGGAATATGAAAAGCCGGGAAGTATGGAATCGGGGGCGGTGCATGATGATGGGAAACCATTAAGGACTGATGCTGATGCGCCGGTGTACCAACGAAGTTATTCGAATGGTGCAAAGTTGATTGCGAACTAAAAGCGCCCGATGTACCGGGGAACATTTTAGTGGGCGGCGGAGGTAAATTCCATCTTTCAAAATCGAAATAACCGTTTTGCTGTTGTTGATTCGCATTGTGATGCGCGGGTGGAGGTATTCTACTTAAATATTCCGACACCGTTGTTGTTCCGCTTATCTCGTTCAGGGAAGAACCATGTCCACATTTCTCCAAGTTCTTTCTCTTCTTATTTACAGTATCCACCTTACGACGTTCCTCTGTTTGTTTCTGTTGTTCGGTCGGAGTAACGGAAGTAGCAGTTTGTTGTTGTACTTGACACGAAGTCTGTTGTAAAGTTTGCAAATTTTTCACTATACTCATAGGATCTCCTCTGCAACTGCTTAAATCTTGTAAAGTCACTTGGTTGGATTCAAAATATGTCTGTTGCCTATCGGAAACATTTATTACGCGTTGTACTTGTTGTTGAACTGGCAAAGTTTGAGCATTTATTTCAGCGTTTCCACCAGTATACAAAGCAACAGAAAACTTTCTATTTCCTATCGGATGCCGATTCTCGTTTTCCCAGCATATTTGCTTTTGCGTCTGTGAAAAATCTTGCTGCTGTCTATCATAATTTTTATCAGCATTGTACGTGGTTTTAGTTTCAGTAGTACCTAAAGCTCGGGTGATAACCGACGAATAAACAACTTGTCCTTGCGATGCAGGCCGCGGCACGGTAACGTCTAATGGCGACGGAGGTGTAACTTGTTGCTGTACAGCGCCTTTGTATCCTGATCCGCTTGTACATTGATTTCCATTATTTTCCGTGTGTTGTTGTAAAGGGGAAGGAGATGACATTGCAGCCATTGGGCTGTTGTACATAGGATAAGCAGGACTCGGAACATGTCCCAACGGACTTGCTTGTGAATGCGCTTGTAACGGGCTTGGTCTTCGCGGTACAACAACGCTACAATCTGGTCCATTTTGGGCAGAATTATTAGAAGAATAAGCAGAATCGGTTGAAGTTGCAGATTTTGATCTTCCCGAATGATGATACTCCGAATCGGATCCTGTCAAATAATGTCTATACGATGTTTGTTGTTGCTGTTGATTTAAAACGTGAAATTGTTGTTGTTGTTGTTGTTGTTGTTGTTGCTGCTGTTGTTGCTGCTGTTGTTGCTGCTGTTGTTGTTGTTGTTGCTGCTGCTGCTGTTGTTGTGATTGTTGAGAATGTGTTTGTAAATTGTTATTTGATGGAGTTCTTTGGTTACCACCAATTTTTCCACTGGTACTTGAACAACTTGTATTGTTACCAGCTGTATAGTTTAAACCTCGTGACTCCATTATAGAAAAACTAATAGGTGATGATTGTGTACTGTCCTGCGACGTTTGTTCATTTCGTCTATGTTCGCTGTGAGCATTTAATTCTGGATATATTTTCGTCTGCGCTTTTGTTTGAATACTTTGTTGAGATGTACTAATTATCTTATTTGGCGGTGAAGTGAAGTTGTTATTTCGAGTAGAAGATTTATCTTGAACTTGCGTTAGTACAGACCTGACAGATGTATTCAGAAATATAGTTGTAGATGCAACTGATCTAGCAGGTGGTTGAGGAATTCTATATTCTTTGCCAGCTGTATTACTTGGAGTAGACACAATGCAGGACTGTTGATGCTGAAGAGAAGATTGCACCTTCCCATTAGGAGTCTGATTTCCATTCGTGGTAGAATAATTATTTGATAATGTTTCGGAACTGAAGGTGGTAGGTACTTGTTGGAAAAATGGTTGATTACTACTTGTCTGAGCTGTAGATACACCCGATTTAACGTTTACCGTTGGTGACTGAGATCTGACATTAATAGGTTTTTTACTATCCGGATAGTTAGTCGACTTAAATTCAGCAGCAGGGACAGAAGGTGAAGACAATTGAGAATTTATAGTATTGATAGTTTGACTTGTAGGAAAATGAGAATTGAACGTGTTTTCATAAACACCAGCAGCAGGTTTTGTCGTAGACGATGGTCCCGGAGACGAGGGAACAACACTTTCGTGCGGTAAAATTCCAAACGGGCTGGGTAATTGCGCATTGTTTTGATGAGACCAGGCTAATGCGGATGTAGGTGATGTAGCTGCTGCACCCTGATGCTCAAAAAATGTCGGTTGATGCGCTGAACTATAGTTCTCCCTTAATACAGGGATATCGGATTCTGTTGTGGTATTCTGCTTTGTTACCGACACCGCTTGAGCTTGAACAAGAGCTTGTCTATGCTGAGTAACATAATGAGCTTGTTTAGAATTGGGATGATGAAATAGAGGCGAGAAGACGTCGTATCCCACAGGGGGTGGAGATAAAAACCCCCCTGGGTTAAACGGAGATGGCTGACCCGCCAGAGTTGCTGTTGTATGCGCCGCTTGTAGAATTAATTGCGACGTGGTCGATGGAACTGCTTGAGCAGCAGCCGTTGCTAAGTGATGAGGTACAAAATCACTGCTTGTGCTTGAAGTTGTTGACTGAAACGTATTGGTTGCACTACTTGCAGTAAGACGATTATACGATGCATACCATGGACCAACGGGATCCATTACCCAAACTTGGCACGGCAGTGCCTAGTTTGCTTGGTCCACGTATAGCAGACTTTTTTGCATGTAAATGTTACTCATATATCTTGCAATATTCATAACATAACTTTTTCTTAAAACTTTTGTACGTCCATTGCTCATATTAAGTAAAAAAGGTATATACCAAAAACTATTTCACTGTATATAGAGTCTATAAACTTTCATCCAATATGGGCTGACAATATGATACAATGGTTTCTCCATTTTATTCTGAAAAAATAAATTATTCTCATGTATAATTTAATAATTACAAGAATTGTTAAATCTATATACTATATACATTAACAATAAAATATATGCATGTACATATTAATCCGAGAAGATTTATCACACGATCACATTATGTACATACTTAACGCATTAAACAGTCATTTGATTTTATTTAAATATAATTATTAAACGTAACCACGATAGACCTATTTATGACTTTATTACGAACAGTGTTAAGAATTTGTCTAATGCTAATTCAAAACTAAAAACAATCACTTGGGAGTATTATTTATTTGGCAAAATGTCAAACAGATATTATAACAGTAATACATACTGACAGTATGTTTTCTTTTGTTGTATTTCTTTTTTATTAATGTTATCATTGTAACTATTCAATAGTAAGTCTATCGAATTGAGCAACTACGAAAAATGATGAAACATAAAATTGAATAATAAAAAAAAAAACTTACGTTTCTGTAATATCTTTCAGGCACCAAAACAATAGAATGTATGCTACCAGGGCTAGCAAAAGAACCAACGTTCTTCGATGTTTCGCACAGCTTGTGCTATTTGAAAATTGTAGAAACAGATCTCTATATAAAAAGAAACAAGTAACAAATGTGCGCCGGTTTTTAAGAATCGAAGAGAAACTACTGTAGCGTCTTTTCATGACCTATTATGATACGGTCCTTAGATGTTTCGTGCGTACATAATCGGTCTTTATCATAGATAATAAAATCGCCACATTTGTCAGCAATAAATACTAAAACGATAATTTCACGTCTAACGATATACAGCCATATGTGTTAAATACTGATTACATTTGCCGGTGTATAAAAAGATATAACGTCTCATCGAATAACACAATAAATATGGCTACACAAACTTGGCCAACGCACGACACACGATCGGCTGGCACCGTGATTACGCTCACATGATTTGAACATCCAAAGAAAAGTGTACATTCCGGGTACACTCTAGACCCGGTACTCACGCACACACCGCGCTTAGTTACCGTCACACGGGCTCATTTATCGCGGGGAATTGAACAATGTTACCCCGCAGTGCCCATTATAGGCCGCCATTTTGAATCGAATCAACAATGAATCGCGCCATCTACTAAATCAGATCATTGAAAGAGATCCCGCAAGCGGGATTTTTCAAGAAAATACAAAATTCCTACCTCCGTTACGTTCAGCTTTCTTCCTTTCTTTTTTCCATATCGTTGCAATATTACACTTTATTTTCCCTACGTATTTTTTCGCTGGAAGAAATTAACAAATTTTACCCAAATGAGATCAAACTAACGCAAAAAAGGTATTGTATGCGTACATGTATAACACATTCCCTAGTACACACCAACATTGGTGAATACACCTGTTGATCATAAAACTAATTTTCGAACATTGTATTAGCGCGTGTACAACGTAGATTATTTTGAATCATTAATTCAATATTTTGCATAAAGTACACGTACATTCCGCTTAAATGGCTATTTCAACAAGGACATAAACAAAAAAAGGATAGCAATTATGAAAATGTTATTATATTTCTTTCTAATACAAAGAAAATTCATCGTAATTCATTAAAGTGTTATTAATTAAAAATTGGTATGCACAATGATAACATTTATTATAATGGTAATGTAAGAATATATTTATAATTATTATTATAATAATAATAGTGTAACTCGCGAATATGGTCGTTTTGTTACTGGCTGAAATAGATATCACTCATTCGAGTAACTGCCAAATTATTGCTACTGTAGAGAAAGTGAGCAGGCAGTTTATGAAATTGCATGTTGCAAGTTGCCTTACCTGTTACTATAAAAAAAATAGGATTCAACAATTAAGACACTTAGTTGAGTATATCGCAGATATCTTGAAAAGTATACCGATGCCACTGTGTGTACTAGTATGTGAACTTTGTGATGCAAAATTTCTGACACAAGTGCGAATTGTACTAAATACACCATTTGTTTAAACGTTACACGAATATAGTTTAATCTTTTATCTCTTTACCGTTACGATCGGAATATTATACAATATTCTAATACTATTACTGCAAATACACACAAAGTTTTTGAAATTTAATTAAAAGGGATGAATTATACTAATAAGCAAAGTGGTACAGTGGCGGTATCACAGCTACTTTGATATCATACAATACTTTTTAAATGTTTCTGTACACACATTTGTTTAACCAGTTGCATTTTACAAATTTTACATACCCCCATTACATATCATTTTTTTAGAAAACTTAGAAATATTAATTTTATTCCACGTTCAATGGACTTTCTTTATAAATCTTAATTTCTGAAATTTTATCGAAACAATAACGTGATATAACTGATAAAGCGTCACAAAATAAGCAACATGGTAGGTAACAACTTAGAACAAGTAAATAAATAATCTATACATTAAATTACGTAAGTATTTATGAAATATTTCCTTACGAATGAATCTGAGTAATATTCTAATGAGAATTTTTAAACAATAATAAACATGATTATGTAAGAATAAATAAACAATATCAGGCAGCTCAGGATGCACGATACGATTTTGCTTTGGTTTTTGTGAAATACATCCATATTAATTCCTAATTACGGTAACATTACAAAATGCAATATACGTAGGATGGCCAATATTGCTCTGTTTTATTCACGCTGTTTTCATTTATACGACAAATTTATTTAACGGCTACCTCATTTGCATTTTACGTTGTTGCCAAACTGCAAATTTTCTATACGCTGTGTTCAATAACTGGTTTAAATGACTCGTTAAATGTTGACTGACAGCAGAAAAATCACGCTGAACACGATCCTAGAAAGAAACAAGAAAGAGACAGATTTAGGTATGCGATACACATGTATAAACGTAAAATGTACACGGTACAACATACTTCGAAAGGTTTAAGTTTAGCAGAATGAAATCTGTGTAACGCTTCGTGCATTCTAATTGCCTTTTCTTCAAGCTGCGGTGTTGTAGGTGGAAAACTGCGCCAAAAATGCCTTAGGAGTTCACATATGCATACATAGACGTTACGTAACTCTTTCTCTAGATCCTTTGGTATTAGTTCTATGGTCATAAGGAAAAAGATATTAATTTTTCAAATGTTCTTCCATTAAATATTTAGGTTCTTGACTTTTAAATAATATACTTACGCCCAAGGCTTTCCTCTCTGAAGCCTTTCATTAACAAACCACCGGGAGTTAACTCTCCTAAAGCTAAGACGGCTGCAGCTGGGCTAACCAGTGACGTTGCTAATTGTCTCGGTATGCTGTTCGCTGTCAGCCATCCGCTTGCTTCTCTTTTCAGTTGATTTAATGTCATAAACAGCTCTTCGGATGTGGGTACTGTGCTGCCGTATCCCGGCACAGGGCCGTGTAAATATCTGTCTATGTGCGTCAAATTCAGTGGAACACTATGCGACGTTGCGTTTGTGTCACAATTACTATCGAGATCATCGTATATTAATTTTTCTTGTATTCTAAGCTGCAAATGAATATATTGCACATTTTTACTGTTAACGATCAACTTAATAATACTACTTCTATGCATAGAGGATAGATGCGTTATGAATTTACCTTCTTAGTTTTTGGTTGTTCATCCGACCGATTAGAAAGTGTGGTAGATTTGCTCGCGGATGGAGTAGATCCATTTAACTGTGGTTGAATAGATGGCATAGATTGTTTGGCAGTGCTGGCTTTTAAAACCATAATGCTATGTTGATTAAATCTTTTGATCATACTTTGATGTACAATGTTTCCTGAAAGTTTATCGGATTTGCTAGGTCCATTCCCATAATTCTCATCCAGAGTTTGATCTTCGAAAGAGGTAATGTCTACCAATGGATCATTGATACCCGATTGAATATCTTTCTTGAGTTCTTGATCATCTATTTTGGCACATTCGGTAAAAAGGTCCTTGGTCCCGGCATTAATACGATCTCGATGAAAATAATGAGACTGAAAGAACTTTGTCCAAAAATCAGATTCTGACATTTTGTGAGGCACATTTTCTTGATGTTTTCTTTTTACTGCAGGATACGTCTTAAATATACATTCTATTACATCAACAGTTAAATTATACTTCAATCCATTACAGCCATCTGTTTGTGGTTTTATGTCAGCCTAAAGACAACATATTCTTATAACAATCGGTTTCTTTTCTGACTCATAATCCATATTTTAGTAATAAAACCTTACCAAAAATGCACTGTTAACACCAATTTCTTGACGTTGACTCTTTTTAGCTTGAGTATGTTCTGCAGCATGTTGCGACCAAAATTCTTCTGAAGAAATAACTTGTGTAATAACTAAATCTCTGTATAATTGAAAGAGTACCGGATTTTCCTGAAGCATTCTGGCAAATAATATTTTATTTTCATTTGTGAATATAATACAATTTTGAAGGGTAGTATCTATAATATTACCTATTTTTCTCTTCTAATTCTTTATTTACTTTCCTCTTAAATTTTGGTAATAGTTGTTGAAGTAGTTCTTTCACATCATCACGATCTTTTATTTGTGCCTCTTGCCCATTTCTATTTACAAAATGAAATGTGGATGATGAACCATCATGCAGTACAACTTGTAGCTGTATTTTTGACTTT